AAAACTTCTGAGAAGAAATGTTGCCAAATCATCAAACAGAAATTCTTCATTCTAATAATAAAAGACTAATGCTACAAGTGGATTCACTGAAAAGCTACTGTAATAGCAAAACAGGTTATGATATATTTTTTTAAATAAATTTTGTGGAGATCAAATCATAAGGTATAGTTTATGAAATTACTATGGATCTACAGAAAAGTACAGAAATCTATAAACAAATTATGGTCAGATTCTCTAAATAAAGATAATCGAGTTCCGTTCATTAACAACCCAGATCAGCATTAAAAATGTCATTGATTGAGTAATAACGTTCCTGTAAAAGTGTGTTTAACTTTGAAATTATTATAGGATCTCTTCAGATGTAAAGGGAGCTTATTATAAAACCTATGAAACTTGTTACTTGCTAATGGAGTGTGGGTAAATTCACCTTCAGATTTTGATGACACTTGGTCCAACCGTAGTTGATAGATAGGTTTGTTCAACACAATCTGATTGCTCAGCAGGCGTTAAATAATTCAGATCTGTTGTCTCTATCACATCTGCTTTGTGTTTGGGATTAGTGCAGCAAGGAAATGAATTGATATATTGTTGAAACTGGTACAATTTTAAATATTTATTATTTTTTCATTGTGAGATTTTCACTAGACAGTTTTACAAAAACGCAACACGTGTTTCGCCATACACACGCCTCTGGCATGTCTTAAAGCAGTTTTGGTATGTCCTTGAGCTCTCAGCGACTCTACTTTCATCTCCTTAATCGTCGCAAAAGCTGTCCTTTCATGGGTCTCTTCAATCTTGGCAACAGGAAAAAATCGCAGGGGGTCAAATCTGGTGAATAAGTTGGCCGAGGCATGATTACAAAAAATTACAAACGAGCAATGACGAGTGAGCAGGTGCATTATCGTGATGCAAAAGCCATGTATTGTTTTTCAACAATACTGCAGGTTTTTTTTGTATCGCTTCTCGAAAGCGATGCTTAACTTCAAGATAATACTCCTCATTGGCCGTATGACCACGTGGCAGGTAAACCTGATGCACTACGGTAATCGAAGAAATCAGTTAGCAAAACCTCTACATTTGATCGAACTTGGCGTTCTTTTTTTTTAGTCTTGGCTCTTCTGTTCGGGCGATTGGACTTTGGTTTCGATGTCAACCATATACCCATGATTCGTCACCATTCATGACCCTTTAAGCAAATGTGGATCGCCGTTGACTTTATTCAACGACGGTTTTTTTCGTCAAAATTCAGCAATTTTGGAACGAATCTTTGCTGCCAAATGCTTCATGTCCAACATTTCCAAAAAAATTGCATGGCATGAGCCAACCGATATGCCGACAACCTCAACAACTTTTCTTACAGTGATCTGACTATCATCCATAACAATTTTTGTCACTTTCTCAACATTTTCATCGGTTGTTGATATGCTAGGGTGTTCAGGACTTTTACGCTTTCACCACATGAGAACATTTTTCTGATTTAGATTACTATCATCGTATGATATTGTCAATTTTTTACAAAAAAAAATGATGCAGATTCTTTGATCCATTTTTTTCGATAGCAGAAAATCACCAAACACAGAACACTTAACTTTCATGGATCTCGTCAACAAACTGAAACTGAACATATGAATAGAAATAGAATAGAATAGAATAGAAATTTATTCATCATTAAAAGATTTTATACATGTGGTACATACAGCATAAAACTTTATCAGACTAGTCAGAACCGAACATAAAGCAATTGTGCTTATCTATAGTTAGTGTTATTAGAAGTTAAGTAGACATAATAAAAAGATGCAAGAACAGTGACAAATAATATATGCAAGTAGCTTAAATTAGTTAAAATTGTGAAATCTATTTTTTTTTTATTATTATTTGTACAAGTAAAATAAAGTAACTACACAATAATAGCTAGAGTTGAAGAAATTCTTCAGTACTATAAAATGCATTTTTGGTAAGGTAATCAAGTAAAGCACTTTGGAATTCAGTGAAATTACATGTGTTTCCAAATAGCTGAAGTGCTTTATTATAGCAGATGATACCTTGATAACTTGAGGATCCCTGACCAAGAGCCAGTCGAGAGTAGGGTAGTCGCAGTTCATTACCATTCCGAGTGTGATGTTTATGTATCATGTTATTTTTNTTTTCAATTGGAAAATAGACTGAATATCTAAAAGATCACGTGGTATATATAAATTTGACGTAGGTTCAAGATATGGTAATTTGAATATACATTTTATTATTTTATTTTGCAGTCTCTTGAGAGGATTTATTATTGATAAATTAGCTGTTCTCCAAATTGTTCCTTTTTGAATATTATAATTCAATTATCTATTATTTTCTTTATCTTGGGAATACAATATGATTTGCTTAGCACATGATGTTTAGACATTTGAAACCTGAATTTTTCAAAATGATGTTCACTTTTACTGATCATTCATTTGTTCTTAGTGTTTGTTCAGGATTTTTTAAAAATCACCTAGTAATATTCATTTTTTTTGTTGCAGATGCTGTACCCATCCAAAATATAACTGTATGTATAAAATGAATAAAACATATGCATTCTAAATGTTTCTAGTAATTTTTATTCTTTTTACACCTGTTAAAAAATGAAAAACCTGAGATAAAGTATCTTAATGTTTGTTTGAAGGTGGTTGACGTTTCGTTGTGCATTTCATTAGTTCGGACTTCCATTGTCTAATATGATATAAATTGATTTGGAATCCCTGAAAAAATCTGTAAATAATTTTAAAAAATCAGCTGAAAAATAACAATTATATTAAGCAAAAATACTGAAATTATAATGAAATAAAATACAAGCAAAGTAACCTTTAAAGGTCATATTGATCACATTATATCTCACTCAATTCATTGGGATTTGTTCAACGATCCACAGATAAATTTTCTATAGATACCTTTAAAATATTGTACTGTTCTTTGGTACGCTCGGTCTTGGGAAATAATTGCGTGATATGGAGTCCTATATATCAGACAAATATATCTATGATTGAGAAAATACAAAACAAATTTCCGAGATCATGTACGTTTAAGCTCGGATATCTGAGGTCCGACTATGTGTACTCACGACATTCTGCTTCTTCTGAATTTATCTACTTTGGAGCACCGCCGAGCTGAAATTGATCTAGGACTCCTTCATAAAGTTATAAACGGTGATATGAACTGTCCATTTGTAACATAAATGATTAACTTCTATGTAAATTTAATTATTTATTTATACGGGATAAACTCCTTTACAGTGTAAAAATTTTACAGAAAAAAAGCACAATATAACAATGTAAAATATAAACTAAAACGCTACGGAATGTTTCTGCAGCACACAACTATATAACATTATAAAATACTATAGGATATAGAATTAAAATTAAACTTGTTACTACCTTATGTAAACAATTACCAACTTAAATTATTCAATGATTGTTTAAAACGACCATAAGAGACACCAAAAATACTGATGTTTTTGTCATCTACTAACTTTAGGGTTCTTTCCAAGGGTGTATGTTTGCCATAATTTGTATGATGGAAGGGTATATGATATAAATGGCTGTGTCTAAGATTCCTGTTCGNATACAAATCAGAATCGTCAAACCATTATAAAATCAATAGATGATGCTGATAAACATGCAAACAGGAGGAAAGTGCATGAGTACTTTTTCAGAACTTGTTACTGTCAGATGTCCATATGTCGGTGGTTACAGAAACATTTGGTATATTATCAAGAATGGTTTTAATTTAGCAACTTCCTTGGAATAAAGGTCTGGAAGAATATCATACCAGCGCTTTTTTCGGCTGGGAAGTTTATATTGGGGCTGTAAAAGTTGGGTGAATTCAACAAAGCCTTCATCTTCCACAATGGACAGGGGTTGATAATCCTTTCTTATCATCTTAACCAGAGCATTGTCTATTTTATGAATCTCGCTCTCTTTCAACAGGGGCACCAAAAAGTTTCATTTGTCTCACTTTCTGTCGCTTCAAAGGAGGTTGAAAACTTGAACTGTCAGAAACGGCGGTAGACGGTCCTGCAACATCATGTGGATCGCTGACTTGCATATTATTGACATTATTTCTTACACCAATATGATTATTACTAGTGCTAGTAGTGTCTTCAGGTTCTGAAGTTGAGAGAAACGATTGGATGAAGACGCTTTATATGTTGGTTTAAATTGGTAGTGTTACCAAAAAACTTGGGAACTCTCTTGCAAATTCGACACTGAACTTGACCATTATTTATTTTGTCGAAATGTTCCCAAACAATAGATTTCTTAGCTCCAGACAATCATATTATTTCTGGTAATAATTCACATTCATGGAATAAAGGAAATTCGACAATAGAATTCTTCGTTACACAGAATCTCATCATCTCAACCCTATGCTTCAACACGAAATATCGCTGTTGTCAAGTCTAAACATTCAGTCGGATCCTAATTATCCGATTTTCGACAGGGTGAGAAAATTATCCGCCAACCCTTCAAATTATCCGCAAATCGGATAATTATCCGCCAATCGGCAACACTGGTGAGTAATGTCTAAATCGACATAACCTAAACCTGCCTAGACCACAGATGCCAAACTTTTTATCTCTCTCTTTTGTATGGCCGTTGCTTTACCACTCTGGCGCATTTGGCCAATTTCCTCCTGTCAACAGTTGACAGGAGTCTTCGTGGGGGACGCTGAAGTCTTGCTTGAGTTTTTTTACCAATTCATCTGATGCGTTTTCTGGCGCTTATGTATTCAAAACGTATTCGTCTTTGATACAAATACATTCATTCTGGCGTTGAAACGATGATGTCATATCAACTATCATTTGAAACGTACAGTTACCGGACTGAGTCATAGGTGGTGGGAGAAATCGTATCATATCTTCATGATTTTGACTATTTGAAACATGTTTATGCAATTCACTTTTAAACTCCATCACTACCTGAATACGGCCCTGAATTTGGATGTTTATGGCTCGAATAATCTAACAGACTGATAACAGATTTTTATACATCTACTGCACATCTTGAGGGAAGGGCTTCTCGCCGGCCATGACTCAATCCGGCAGATATATTCATGATGATTCAAAATTAGCGTGAGGTTGGTTTTGAAACGGACTGTTACGTTACGTCAGTTGTCATTTTTTGCTTTCTTTTGATCGTTATAATTTATAAAGTGCTTAAAACTTTTCATCAAATACATTGTGAGGATGTACAAAATAAAGCTGAAGAATTATTACTTACTCAAATCCGATTTTTATTGAGGTTAGAGAAAATTGTAAAGTTTGTTTTTATTATTGACTTTGACATCTGACACAAATCATTCCATTCTGGCGAATCTTATTATTAATGACGTCACTACGAATCGTTTTTGAACACACGCTGGAATGCGATTATACGCCAGAAAACACCTAAGATTTGAAAATAAAGCACTAGAAACAACACTGGTTTGCAAGGGGAAATATTTTAACCTCACTTTTTTGTGTTTTTCAAAAATTAAGGTCTAGACTTTGAGTTAAGACGTTTTCTAATTGTAACTCAATATAAACTGACCTCATTTCAGAAATATCATCATGTTGAGGTGTAGCAAAAGTGTTTTNTTTCCAGAGAGTTTTTTATAACAATACATTTTCTGAGCTGAGGCCGATTGACCTAGGTGTACCGCAGGGATCGGTTTTGGGCCCGCTTTTGTTCGTTATTTACATTAATGATTTTTACAACTACATGAAGCCATGTCACAGTGTACTATTTGCTGACGATACATCCTTGATATACTCTTCTAGGAATTATTGAACTCTTGTTGATAAGTCTATGGAAATACAAGAAAAAGTGGAGCACTGGTTCAGTGTCAACAAACTCATGATGAATAAGGAAAAATCACAAAACATGATTGTTTCTATGGCTCTGCCATTACTCTGGACAATAGGCTAAATTGGTCAAGCCACATTTCAAGTTTGAAAAGTACGCCTTATTTTTACTTAGACAGCTGAAACCAATAACAAATTTCACTACGTTGAAAATTGTATTTTGCTCGCTTATACAGTCTCATGTTTCTTACGGTATTCTACTTTGGGGAAATTCTAGTGATGCCCAATGCATTTTTATATTACAGAAAAAAGCTCTGAGAATTTTTGCTGGAATCGGTTTTAGGGTTTCTTGCCGTGAATCATGCATCACTCATGAAATTATGTCGGTGCCTTCTTCGTTTGTTTACTCAAGCTTATTAGATATTCACAAAAGGGCCCCCTTTTTTCCCAAGTAATCCAGTTTACACAATCATGATACATGTAACAGCAATTTTATTAGACCTCAACGTTTCAGGCTGATGAAATCATAAAAAAACTCCTATGATTTTAAATTATTGTATAATGCACTTCCTGCCAATATTAAAAATATGAATATGTTTTGTTTTAAAAAAGTTATAAAAATATATTTAAAAAAAACTTTTTTTATTCCACTTCAGAATATGTACCCTGTAAACTTGTTACAAATTTTTACTGTTCAATTTATTTTATAGAAAACTTTGTACCTTGCATCTATTTGTTTTTCTGACTTGTCATAAATGTATTTTATAACATGATCAAATAAATATATCTATCTATCCATGACAGATAACATGACAACAGTAAAAAATATTACTGACTCATCCACCAATGCCGTAGAGAGTGACTTTGCTGCAAACAGAAATACATTTGGTGGAATCATGGAAAATAAAGACAAAAACCACATAGAAAATAACAGGAAAGACCGTAAAACGAGAAACTTGGAGGAAATCGATATAAAATCCGATAAGAAAATTATCTTTGTTGCTGGAAATAATGGTCGTGATGTGGCAGGTTTCTTAAGAAAACAATCATCAGGCGAATATACAATTGAATTGATCTTAAAACTAAATTTTACTGAAATTGAATTCATGAAGACTTCAATAAATGCAAGCCAGCATCTGTTAAAAAAGGATCACTTAATCATATGGCCTAACAAGAATTGACAGTATTACTACTACAGAGCTGGCCGAAATTTCACATAAAACAAACCTAATGATTCTGACTGAACCTTATAGATACGATAAGACATACCTGAACGACAAAAAACATATAAATAGTATTTCTCTCCAGAAGGAAACATATCTTGCTGGCCTTCCTCTAATAGTCGTAGAATACAACAATGTCCTGCAAAGAAGGAACTACTGCCGAGGCAACAGGAACATCAACAAAACCGGAAAATGGAATATTTCTAAATTGCTGGTAAAAATTTTAAAATTCGCAACCTAATAGACGGGTTACTCTATTTGAAGAATTAATGGAAGCTGACACACAGGAAGATTACTTAGATTATAATTTTTTATATCCTCGCCTAAGCCAGATTGCTCCAAAGGGCATGTAAAACAAAACCAAATTTTAATTTTCAATATACACGAAAACCCACTAACAAAGGGTTCCAAAAGAAAATCTGTTGGAAAAAAAAACAACAGTTATGATACCAAAAAATGCTCCGAATCCGGAAATAATGATTTTTCATCGGAATATCCAGTGTCTTAAAAAACAAGACACTAGAGATAGAAGTTCTACTAAGAGAAC